TCTGGAGATCTGTAGTAATCTGGTAACCTCACTATTCTGTCTTCTCAAATGCTGCACAGCAGCAGTAGCAGAAGTTATTTTTGGAAATACAGTGGGGGAGGGAAAATGGTTAGGAAAGTTACAGGATACAAATACATGAGAACGTTAAGCAGAACACAGTAGCACGAAATGTATTTTTTGCTTTGTTAGGCATTCAAGAGAGTGAGATCTTTATGAGTTTATATAAATTTGGTAAACAGATATGTTTCTGGAAGTTGCAAAAACATACATCAGGATCCTCCTTTCCGGGGAGGGCCATATCAGTTCTCCCAAGACTGTTAGAAGGAGCACATGTCACTAAATACATCCATCTGACAGACCAGTGCAGAAATACATGAAACTTAACATGAAATAAGAAGTGAAGAACCTGCACGTTTCCTCTGGTGCTCATACACCCTTTGAGCAAAACAGTAACTGAATTCTCAACTAACACCACTAGATCTCATGTAAAACGCAAACAACTTAAACACATCCAACATTTTCAGAAAAGTTGAAGAACCTATGTGCACTATGATGCACTTACTAACTACCTAGAAGTTCGAGTTGTTAAGATCATACATGTCTTTCAGAAGTAATACAACATGTGCATGCATTTACACTTACATCTGATTTTTAGCCGCTTGTCTCTGAGCTTTCCGTTCTTTCCTTTTTTGATCTGGTGGCTTAGCAAAAACAATTTCAATGTTTTCTCCCTCTAAATCTTTGCCATTCATTTCTTCCATTGCCTGAAGGAATTAACCAGACTTTAAATATACTTCTAAGCATATCTGGAGTTATTAATTTTACTCTATCCTTTAGAATATGCATTTTAAATGTTGTTATCCATAGCTAAAACAACAATATAAATCTAAAAAAAAATTAGCATAACATTATGGGTTTCAGAAAGTTACGCATTTCCTCTTAACTTGCCTCTGAAACCCAAGACTGCACGTATTAATTTAAACATCTTCCACTCAAAACTCTGAAAAGGCTTCAAATCCTTGCAGGATGTTTCAATTAATGAAGGAACAGAACTGTTTTCTGAAAAGACACTAAGGAAAAATTTGCAGTAAGGCAATATATCTCTACTGTCAGCATATATGCAAACACTGCTAAGACTAAAAATCAGTGTGGTTTTGTGCTTTCATATGTTAGTTTGTTGTGTTTGGGTTTTTTTTGTTTGTTTTTTGTGTTTTTTTGTTTGTTTGTTTTTTGTTTTTTTTTTTTTAGCCAGAAGCCAAAAAGTAATGGTCTCATTCTCAATTAAGGAAAAAAAGCCAAAAACATCACACATGTATATTTCTCATAAGTCACAGTAATTGCTAAAAGTTGATTTCAATCAGAGGAATCCTGAAGATTCTACCATTTTTAAGGACTCTACACAGCTGAGCCTTGACAGGATGTGTATCCTGTGAGAAGACTCTTTCCATCATCTTCCTAAGCATCTGCTTCAAGGCATCTGGATGAACAAGAAAAGCTAAATCCCCTTGTATCCTGTATCCTCCCACAGGACATTAAAAAAAAAAAAAAAAAAAAAAAAAGATACCCTACAGGCAAGAGAGGAAATGTACATTCCCTTCCCAACAACAGATGACAAGAGAAAAGACTAGGCTAACAAAATCCAGGGATGACAATTCTTCAGTTGTCCTGAACTTCTCATCAAAAAGGCCCTTATTCTACACCATAAAAAAATGCTCTGTCCCTACAAAATAAATTTTTACCTAAATGTTTATTGCCTGTCCTATAGAAACAGCTTTAGCGCCTACTGAAAATTTGTTGAGAAGAGTCATTCAACTTCTGGCACTTCTATTTCAAATTGCAGGTATGATTATCTTAGATACTCATCAGAGAATTATGTAGGATACATACATCTAAGATGCAGTTTTTCAAGCTAACAAATGCTTTGGTTTTTTTTAGGAGATACCCAGAAATGAATGTTGACAACAAAAATGCTTAGCACTCCTCCACTGAGTTACAAGAAATATACATTATCTAAATCATATATTTAGTAACTGTTTTCACACCTGCAGCAGCACGCACACATGAGTACAGCCCTCTTTACGTACCTTTACAGCACCATCCCGTTCATCAAAATGAATGAAAGCGTAATCTTTTAGCTTCTTCACTCGCTCTAGCTTTCCAAACTGACTGAAGGCCTTTTCTAGTATCTCCTCTGTTACAGTGTTGGCAAGATTGCGGACAAACAGAACTTTTACCTAGAAAGCAAATCAGTAAGATTTAGAAGTGTGATCCAAGACCAAATAAAGTTTTGCAAATCGTTACTATTGGCAGCACTGAAAATATATTTTAAGTATAGTATTTAACGTATGTAGATATGGGAATTTATATGCTCCTATAAGCACAAGTTGGCTGCAAACATTCCTCACTGCTAAAAATATGAGATCCATTTTCAAACATGATTACATAGCACTAGCATCCTGAGTCAACACTGTTTTTGTTAATCTTTAAAGGAATCCCAGCAGCAATAATTTTCAACTCAGGAACACTTTCAAAGTTGAAAGAAGGCAAGTGAGATTGGTTATTGGTTATACAAAATAATTAACTTATCAAAACATTCTATTGTTTAGACAGGTTTCTGCAGAACAGTCATCACTGTAATATCTAGGTCAGAGGTGACAGGCCTGCAGCTCTCAAGCTGCTTAACTTGTAGCTCCCATGCTACAACTACACCAAATACCGGAGCAGCAGGACTGTGCTTGCCTGAGAAACATTCAGTGACCTGAATCCACAGCTAGAAGAGGGAAGAAACACGAAAAGGATACTGAGGCTGACACTGCCAGGCCTCTCTTGGACTTTCTCACAAGTCAAGCTGAGCCCTTCGTTTATGGAACAGCCACCTCCAACCAACTGAAAACCTACTCCCTCCCCAAGTCTCTCACAGAGAGATGCAACACAGCTAGTAAACACTATGAAGACTGCAACACAGCTTTTAAGATGAGAAAGCCTGGTTACCTATTAAGAATTTACATATATCTGGTTAACTGCTAAATCATCAGTCCAAAGTTTCATCTTAAAATGGTTAGGGGGTTAATGCAAGCAAACACAATGCAACTTGACAAATACATGCATTAGACTCTAACACACCAGACAGCATGCACTGCACACCAGGGAAGTACATGCGTTAATTTGCTGATAGCATTTGCAAATTTGTCCCTGCATCTACACTAAGGTTGCACTAAATTACCTGTGCATTATCATCACCTTCGCCTGACATCACCTGAGTTCTTTCTTACATTCTGGGAGTCCCTTCTGGACACTATCATCACACCCTGATGTTACAGTGCTACTTTCCTACAGTGCAGCTGCAGATGTGCAACCTCTGTCCATACCCTCCCACGCTACTCATGTCTAGCTGGACGATGATAAAAGCAAGCAAACATCCTATATGACAGTATTTGACTTCCCATTCCTAATCCTAAAGGTCAACATAAGTAACACAAAGGGACCAAAGAAAGCATGCTTCAACCTTCTGAAGGCTGAACTGTAATTCCTGCTCCTACAAATTATAGGAATTTAGTACACCCAGGTATCTACTTGTATGTATAATACATAATTACTATGCGTATGACTGTGTAATTAGGTTACTAATAAACAGAACAGACTTCTATAAATCCTTGTCTCACTAGATGGAAGAGTTAGGATGGGATGAAAGGACACTATAGACCATAAGTCTGACCCAGATAATCAACTTCAGCCTTTGGCAACGGCTACCATGGAGTATTCTCAGGGGATGAAAGAAGTCACAGCCAGTTCCATAGGGAAAACTACTTCTTATCCTGTGTTAACATTTTTCTACTTGCCTGTCTAGCACAAGCACGCTATCTTAACTGCACCTTAATTCAAGAAAATGAATTACAAAAGTTTTGTCACGTAACTGCCTGCTTTTAGAACTGGTATCTTTCACACAAACATTATTCTTGTGCTTCAGGAAAGGATAAAATCAAAGATGGTTCTCACAAGATTCCTAAGTAGCCTTCAACAGTAAGTCTAAAACAACTGACATTCTCTGTGTCAGATACGATTACAAACCATAAAGATTATCATCTTTTTTTAGTACAAGTTGCACTAACGTGGCATTTTTAAAAAACACAAATAGTTTAAATTTCCTCCTGTGCAGTTGAATACGTTGGTCTCTAACATCTCTGTTCTTGCTACGAGTTAAATGCATAGCTGTGTAATGCAATGCAATGCATAGCTGAACCAGTCAACAAAGGTGTCAATGCTAAGTGAAAAACTGAAGCATGGGCTGAGTGAAGATGAAACCATTTTTGTTTCATTTAAGCTGAAGAGGTTTTTTTTTAAAAAAAAAAAAAGAGCCTGATTAAGGCTCAGAGGTTGTAACCAAGAATTAACCAATACACATCTAACAACCAATACACCCAACTATTCTGCATGCAAACACACAGCAGCATTGTGTCATAAATACAGGACCCACTTGAAAACTACTGAAGATTGGACTATCCCCAAAACTTTTGGATCTGCTCCTTTTCCTCCTCCTAACTACAGCACAAACACTTCAAACTTTGTTACTACATTCCCCAGGGGTTAGTATCCCTGTCTCCTGCCCTATCATCTACCAGGCAGCCACAAGAACCAGACTTTATTTAGCTACTTAAGCTGCCAATCCAGCACATGCTCTGTACCCACAGCCATGCTACAGAAATAATTTAAAACATGAGTGGCATCAAAATGCTGCTTAGAAAAGAAACTACTAGCACAACAACTTAAAGCTACAAAAAATGTTTGTTTGGATCAAAAATCAATTACTTCAACAACTGTATTCATATACAACCTGTTTGCACACGTACTACACTCCTGTAGCACACAGTCTAGCTTCAAAAGCTAGCCTTCTACCTTAACATGCAGAAGACATTTCATATTTAATGCAACATCCCTTTTATGCACTTGTGCATTTGGTAAACATGCACCCATAAAATACTCTCTGCAGCATTTAAACAAAAATCTGGAGGAGAAAGAAGAAAAAAAAGAACCTCAAGAAAACACATCAGAATTTAAATTATCAGGTTGACAAAATAGCAAGCTTTTCTGCTATTTAGATTGCTGCCATTCATCCTATGGCTATACCAAGGTAAATCTGCCTTCCTCACCGTTCGCTCTTATGGACTTTCTTTTCTAGTAGTTTGGATGAGAAAACTGCAGATAATTACCCTTATGAAAGCAACCTTCTACTCTTACAGCACTTCTCCCAGAGCTGAAGAAGAGAAGGCACAAGCAGGACAAGGGGAAATGGTTTTAAGTTGAGGGAGGGAGGATTTAGGTTGGATGTTAGGGGGAAGTTCTTTCCTATGAGAGTGGTGAGGTTCTGGAACAGGCTGCCCAGAGAAGCTGTGGATGTCCCATCCCCAGAGGTGTTCAAGGCCAGGTTGGATGGGACCTTGGGCAGCCTGGTCTAGTATTAAATGTGAGGTTGGTGGCCCTGCATGTGGCAGAGGGACTGGAGACTCATGATCCTTGAGGTCCCTTCCAACCCGGGCCATTCTGTGATTCTGTGTGAACCTGTGATTGAGAACCTTCTACCAAAGGAAGCATACAAGAGTCAAGCACTCCCTGATTTGCTCCTGAAGGGCAGTGGCTGGGAACACTGATAGCCAACCTGCAGCTCACACCTGGGAGATCACTGTGGCTGCAATTGGCAGCTTGGCTGCTCTTAAACCTAACACAGCAACAAGCAACAGAAAGTAAAACCTTCTAGAAGTGCCAGATGCGATTCTTCTGTATACATACAGTATGTGGGCCAGTCTGCATGTAACAAGAACAAACTAAGGGATGCAAGAAGCCAGAAAGGTCAGCCACCAGCACCTGTGCCAATTTCTGCCTTCAGACACAACCTATGCACTCTATACTTTTTCAATATTTCTCATTCACACATTTGCTCCCTTTTCCATCAACTGCATGTATTTGGCAAATGGCACTGAAAATAACAAGTTCCTTCCCGCACATTTTTCACTTTCATGTCCCACTTAAATACAAAGCAACACGAGGTATTAAAACAGTGACACCTTAACAAAATTATATGGGACAAAACATCATCAAGATTTACTTTCTTTAGCCTTCCATTCCTTACACTTGAAAGCTTAACTCAGAAAGACACTGATGGGGTCTCATGTCCCCTTTCACCTCCCACTTAACTATGTGATCATGTCATCAGAAGTTCTTGTTAGTTTAACACTTTGTTGGATTAGGACGGCTCTCTTTCGAGACAAGAAATTCAGACAGACTGAGAGATGCTGGAAGCGCCACTCTCAACACATTTTGCATTTAAGATTCTTCCCTGCTGTTGATCAACAACAACACTGAGCAAGAAAAACAAAGCCTGAGAACAAAATGGTACTCCAAAATGCTTCTGCAATACCCTTACTACAAAAGCAGATTATTTTTTTCTCCTAAAAGTGAGCCCCTGCCCAACCCTTTCTACTTATGGATCAGCGAAGAGGAGATTCTCAGCCAACCTATCTTACTAGGCCCACCAAAGCAGGACTCCAGCAAGTGATGTGTCTTAGACAAAAGTGAAAGCACAGGCAAACAGTAAGTAAAGAGATAAGGATATGAGCTAGCTAAGATTCTCCATCAAACAACTCAGCTGCACAACAGAACTGAAAACAACAGACTTGGACATTATCTGATGGGAAGAAAAATCAGGTAATCCGCTCCTATGGCAAAATATCACATGGATAATGGAAGTGCTACAGTCTACTTCAAAATGTTAAGAGTTCAGACTTGAGCTTAACTGAAATAGTCATAATCCAGTCATAATGTTTTAAGGAATTAACACCCTGCCCAAGAAATAAAGAAAGGAAAAAAAAGGTTCAAAATACACAATAATTGGTCAGCTTCTCAAAAGCAACTCCTACAAGACATCTTTGAAAATCCCCAATCTGAACTCTTATATGTTTCACTTCTGAAGTGATAAACATGCATTTCTAGGGTTAAAAATCATTAAAGCTTGCTCTCTGACCACAGCCAGATTTCTGTGCGACCAAATCTTAAGCTACAAAGACATTTGTATGTTTGGAGTCACTACAACCACTTCCAGAGGAGAAATTAAGTACACCAGCAGACTGTCCATTCATCCTTGTGAGAATGAGATAACATCAGTCAGTAGTTCTTTTAAAATTCACATCAATTCTACAGTACATTCATATTTTTATTCTCTCTTTCTCAATACCTCTTTCTTTCAAGAAGACTGACAGATATTAGCCTATAACTTAGGCTAATATCAGGAAATACTCTGGAACAACGCATTTTAATTATACCATGTTTCTCTTACAGCTTTATTACCTTTGCCATGACTTCTGGATCTGGGTCTTCTATAGGGTCAGCCCATTCAACTGTAACAACATTTCCCCAGACTTTCACTTTGCCACTCATTAACCTACGTCTGGCTTGAGCAGCAGTTTTGTGATCTTCATATTCAAGGAAACAGAAACCCCGGTTCTTTTTCTTGTCATCAGGTTGATGATACAATATGACATCTGTAAGGCCCTCTGAAATTAAGCAAAGAATTTATTTGTTACAGCTTTACTCTATGACTTTACATTAACAAGTAGAGATTATGTTTCCGGGAAATACACACCTAACCAGTGGTTCCAAAAGGCATGACCATGCTAAACTCCTCAGACTATGAACATATTAAAAGTTTCCAGACTTTCAAGACCAACGTTTTCAAAAAGACATTAGGCTATCCCAGCTTAGCAACCCTTGTGTTAGGTGAGGAAAGCTTAGAAACTATGGAAGAGTACCTTTCATCTCACTGACCAGAGGAGAAAGGGCAGCCAAAAGTTGTGTTTTGTCACTTCTCCTCTCAAACCCCTAAGTCACAACACTTATCAGCCATGTGTTTTTCCATGGATGTCCAAAGAACAAAAAGGTTAAACTTGCATGATTTCAAGACATCTAAAGAGTTTCAGTGCTCCAGGAAACCTAAAGTATAGCATTCAGTAACAGAGGAAGCCATAAAGTGTTACCTTTTCAAATTTATATGCTATTAACAAAAGGAGATCCTCATCAAAATGCAAAGAATTCTGAAGCACAAAACTAGTTACGTTCTCCAATCTGCTTCAGTTCTGTCTTGAGAAGTTTTTGAAACATCTCTTAGTACTGAAATAATTAAACCACACATTTGTTTGAATGGCCTTTTTGAACATTACACACAGCTCGGTAAAACTGGAACTACACACCTAGTTTAATTACAGATTTCAGCCCTTGGCACAGTAAATTTAAAAAAAAAAAAAATCCCAGAAATCAAGGGAAATGCTAAGTCCTACCACCCATCATCATTCAACAAGACACAGATGAAGAAGTTTATTACTGATCACATCTGACACCTTCCAGCTCAATACAACAGTTACTGAGTTACCTGTTACTTTGCTGAATTCTTCAACAATTTGCTCCTTGGTTTTACTCTTAGGAATAGAACCAACAAAAAGTCTATTATTGGCAACAGAGATGCATACACCAATATGTTTTCCAGAGCGAATTTCATGATTGTTGTACTGAAAGAAAAGCAGACAACCATTAGATAGGTAACTTTCACTCTTCTCCAATGGCAGCATATCAAATACTTTCCTTCTATATAGTATCTAGTAATGTATATATTCTTTGACATTTAAAACATTCTCATGATATATACTCAATTATTTTGCACTAAACCTACGTTTCCTAGACTACTTTCATAGCCAACAACTACCTTACCCTTTTTGTTCAAGCCTGTTTCTTAATACATGTTTCTTTAGATTTTTTGTGGAACTGTGAAAAGTCACAATTATGCCCAGGTCACAGAAGGCAAGGGTAATCCCTTCACAGCAGCACAGAAAAAGACCCAACTTGCTCTACAGAATGCATCTGTGAATTCTTAAATTGAATTGTGTATAATACAAGACAGGTGTTGCAATTAAGGTCAGATTCCCTTCCAAAGCTCTGTAGTTCACAAAAGACAGACAGCCACGATCAGGTCTTCTCCGCAAAGCATGCAAAAGCAATTGCTGAATTCTTTCCAAAGCATGTAGATTACACACAGACAGTAAGCAACAGAAAGAACCTTCTACTGCTTTGAAATCTTAAGATCTCTCTTCAAATGCCTCTCCTAAAACAGACAGCCTGAACACATCAGCAGCTCAAGGGGAAAAATACACACCATTGCAGACAACCACTGACAAAAAAGTGCCTTTCACTGGGATGCAGACAGACATATAGTATCCAAATAAGCAGCAAGGAGGTCAAATGGTGGTATGCCAACCCTTTTCCAATTGCAAGCCCAGCAACAGGCAGTTCTTCAGGTAGGAAACCTGTTTTGTGGTCAATGTTTTATTGACAAGTAGTAGAGCAGCATTTCAAAATTTAATCTAGCTACTTAATCTAGCAAGTGGTTTTGTGTCTGGTGGCAAACTTCCCCACGTATGCAAAGTCTTCCACACCCCCTTCCTGCTTGGTGCACTAAAAATCAGGGTGAAGATGTACATTTATTTAGACATACATGGAGTAAAAAAAAAAAAAACAACCTGCATAATTGAGAATTGTCAAAGCTATACAACTGTAGCAGAATTGAGCTAAAATAGCTGCAGATGCAGAAATAATTTTCAGTGGCATCTTTCCAACTAGTTATGTAGCAAAACATAACAAAGGGCAGCAAAAAGCATCTCTGTATCTGTTGACTGCGTGGCAGATTTTAAAGTTGGAAACAAAATCACACAGCAATACGTATATATGTTTAACAGCAGACTCATAAGGATTCACAAAGAAAGCAATTATAATGGGGAAAAAAATCCTTTAAAAGAAACACCTTTAAAAAAGCTAGTCCTTCATACGTCTGGATACAAGACACAAAAAGATGCTTCTTAAATTGAACATGTAGGTAAGTTTCATCTAATATATTTATCTAGATGTCCCTTTCAAAATGTAAGACTAAAGTCTGACTCCACATTTAATCCAAATGACCCTCCCACACCTTGTAACAGGAACAACCCTTAATTATTCTAACATACTGCAATTCCACACTGACATTAGTTTTTCATGCTACAATATATTAACTACTATTTTCTATTGCATGTTTCTCCTACCTCTGACAAGGCAGCCTGCAATTAGGTGCTCCTAAATATACAGCTCATGCTTTTTAGGTAAATAGTTTGCAAACCAACTGCAAAGTTAGATAAGGCACACACAGGCCCAATTCTGGATTAAGTGCCACAACAGTCAGGCCACCAAATTAGCAAGGTCAGCATAGTGCTCTTCCCTCCTGTCACCACTGAATCTACACCCAAAGCCAGCAGAGACATTAGTAGCCTGTAGACCCTACAGAAGACTCCTTTTTTGCTAAGTTCTTCCAAGAACCTGTTCACAGACAGGTGAAGTTACACAAAACAGTTCAGATCTGTTTTGCCATTTCATTCACTTTCACCCGCATTTATTTCTAGCAGTGAACAAGCTGCACTGCTTGCATAGCTGGCAAACTGCTTTAAGGGGAATGCTTGCATAATTCAACTGTACCTGCACTTTGATCAAACTTCTATCTACTCTGGTCAAAAAATACTTTGAATTACAGCAGCATATAGTATACATTCTCCCACAAGCTTAGCCCACTGGTTCTTATTTCTGTGCATGCCCACAGTAATACTAATCCATCCGAAACAACTTCCAAAACTGAAGACTAACAACTTCATATGAAACAGTAGAAAGGAGAACTGAACGCGTGTGCATAAAACCAACTAGAACATAACACTCAGAGTACAGAATCGGAAGGCAAACCAGACGCACGCAGAGAAGAGATGCCTGAAAGAAGTCACACCCAACTTCTGACAGGTGGTGCTTGTGTGAACAACACTTGAGATGCCACTTGTACTAAAGCAGCTGGCAGCAGGGCAGAGATGGTGGGCTGCACACTGGGTGAAGTATTAGATATAAGATTAACTACTGTTCATGTCTTTATATCTTCTTGGTATCAAGCCACAGCACCATTCCATTTTTTGTCTGAAGCACAACATCAAAGTTATTTCAGACAAAATTTAGGGAGCTCTCCCTTTTTAAGCTGCTGGTGCTATGCATAAACAAAATAAGAGCTTCAACCATTGAAGTCCAAGATTTCTTCTGGTAAATGAAGAGGTTAAGCCTGTGTTTTCTGCTGTTTGGGTATTGACAAAACTTTATAGCTGTCACCACCCACAAATCTAAGGCAACGCACTGACTCTTAGCCTCATTTTGATAAATTTCAGAATCCTTAATGAAAAAAAAAGCCACTAGGAAGAAAATGGGAAATAGAAGGAAATTATTGTTATCTCACTGTATCCAGAAAGCTGCAAAAACAGTTTTCTGCATATCAAAATGTTTTATGCAGTATCAAAAAGAACACTGCAGGTTAAAATACTAGGACGTTAAAACAGCTGACCAAGGGTTCAGTGTCCCACATGCATAACTAAAATAAGTCATCAATCCACTATTTTCAGCAGAGCTCCACAGACATATTTGCTGATTCTCATGCAAGTCACTCTTTGACAGCTTGGGCAACTTCTAATATGCCAAACCAGCCAGCCTGCTATGACTGGGACCACTCAAAAGCTAAACTGGATCTTGTGGCACTCATCAGAACTAACCCTGCCCTCAGAGATGCTAACATGAAGACTGAAAATCTGCCCTATCATTCCTAACACTTTTCAACTATTACCCTCAGTAGCTATCTAACTGAAAGACAGGAAACTGCTTTACTTTTTTTCCTGCTCATCAAAGATCAAGTGTACAGAGGCATTAAGTACCTTCCTCCCTTGTATCACTGAGTGCAAAACTGAGGCCAGGTATCAGACATTACTTCTAGGGAAATTAATGGCTTCTCAAAGAAATAGGCTGCATTTAAGCAAAATGCAGCTAAGGAAAAAGCTCTTTATTTAACAAGTACTTCCAATAATGTATCTGACTTGTTCCACTCTTTTGGTAAGTCATGTGCACAGCTCTGAAGAGTTTACACACATTATAAATAGCTAAGCTGACAATGAAAGTACAAAGAGGTACACGCAAACAGCTGAGTTTTCTTAAGTGTATTTGGACTGTGCACAGGAACACTGGACGTTCTTGTTTAAAAAGTTAAACAGCAGATAGCATTCTTTTTTGTACTTCCACTTTTTTTTTTTTTTAAAAGATATTTCAATACTTTTCGGGAGACAGTCCTACCTTTGGCTTTGCCTCTATCTATTGATTTTCATTATCAGTGTGCCAACAAGGTAACTTAATTGTCTAAGATGCACCCTATTACAAAAGAGACATTTTAACCCTACTGGGTTTATACAGTATCAGTTCACCCTCTTAGGATCACCTCAGCCACATCAATGCAACAGCAACTAGCACAAAAAGATTCATGTTTTACTTAACTAGAAAGACAAAGGATGAGGGGGTCTTTGAAAAAGGTTGCTTCAACCATAAAATCAGGAAAGCTCATTAAGAGCTGTCTATTACACCAGAATACTTCACACCTCTGTCTAAACAGTGTAAATTTTTTAACCCGTAGCTTTTCTGTCATTTTCCAGTCTGTTTAAACAGACAGCACAGACCTTAAAAATGACTTCACAGGAGAGAGAATATCTCATGAAATTGTGTGACTTTAGATACATTTTTCTACCGTGGTGCCCTCTGCTGGTACATGAGCAAAGCAGAAATCATACAAAGCCCAACCAACTCCTTTGCACTGCAGCAACTCAATCAGCACTTCCTTCAAAACTCATCCAAACACTGACAGCTCAGAAATCACTCCTGCTAACACAACTTTCATAAATAGTAAAGGCACACCTAACTGGACCAAATTTACTTGTTTTTTGTTTTTTGTTTTTTTCCTGTCCCTAACACCTGTCCAGCAAAGATTTATATGCACAATAACAAAGAAATACTTAAAAACGCCGAGTGGACATTTGTGAAATGATATAACAATGACACAGCTTAATTTCAAGCAGCCAGACATAAGTGTAAGGACAACTGCTTAAAAGCCACAATGTTCTTACCAAAAAGCGAAAAAAAGGCAAATGAAAAAAAAACTTACCAGCTTAACAGCCTCCTGAGCTGCTTCTTTAGTACAAAATGTGACAAAAGCATATCCTCTATTTAGACCAGTTAATGGATCCATCATTAAGCGGAGATCCCAGATAGGTCCAGCTTTCTCAAATAATGGAACGAGTTCATCTTCAAACAAATCTCTTGGAATCTTACCCACAAATATCTACAACAGACACATAGCATTGCTTATAAAAAAAGATACACCCAAGAAATACAAATGCACCCACATAAGTATCTCCTTCTCCTGACCTCTGTTCCAACAGAAGGCTGCTGTCCTGAATATACAGACTCTGGAGGAGGCCCACCATACTTTCTCTGTCCTGTAGTCACATCAAGAGTGTAGCCGGTTCTTTCCAAGAGTGCCTGCAAGTAGAAAATTTAAAATTTTAAAATCAGATGGAAATTTGGCTGATTTAGATGTACTTTATTCACAGACAACAGACATGTTTAAAATTCATCTTTAACCGTATTGCTTTGAAATTCCCACAGGCGAACAAGCCCAGTGCTTCAACAACTAACTTGCAGAACAATTACTCAAATAGCCAAGAAAAGAAACAGTAGAAAATCTGGAGGTTCACATGGAGTTTTCCCCAATTCCTTCATTTTCATACACACACGCAAAAAAAGGAGGCCAAGTATGAGAACACTGAGCTTCCCTTTAATTAGGAAGATCTTAGGAGCCCGAGCCACTTCTTGTTTTGGCATGCCCAATCCTGCAAACGTTTATGCAGAGAAGTTCCCTTCACTTAATGAGATTACTCATAAGTGTGAAGTTAAAGAACACATGTTTGACTGCTTACAACTCCTGGAACACTAGCAGTGCTCCTTCTGCTTCAGGTATCCCACCACTAAAGTGGTAATAAAACTTCCTTCCTCCTGTGCTGTCGTCCCTCCTCCTCCTTTCAATTCCTCATGGGAACATAAAGCATTGCAGCACAACTGATCTTTGCTACCATCACTGCAAGCAGTTACAAATATATTACCAACTAAAAATGTTAACTGAAATTCAGAATACAAACATCTACAGAAGCCCCTCTGAAAAGGGTCTTCTCTTAATAACTTTGTACAAAGACAAATCAACTCTACATGCAAAGGAACTGCTCGTTTAACAACTCATAATCAGAAGCTGATTTCACAACTGGAAAATCATAGAGAGATTTTAAACAGTACAGCCATCAGCAGTAACAGCTATGCTACTTTAAGTTATTTAATACGTATTGTTGATGCTTCACGTGGCATCGACAACAACTGCATACCAGTTGTTTCATTATCATTCTTATTTTAATTAATCGCACCCCAGTCTCAAAATCAGGAGAAAGAGAGACATACCAGTTTTGCAATCTACATACTTCTTTTTAAACTTTCCCACTTGGACTTTCCATTTCATTCATAAAAAACTTGAAGTTGAAAGACTGCCTCAACTTTCTAAGACTTCAACTAAGTGTACTTCTTTCTCCTTTCCCTTCCATTTGGTCAAGTTGGTTATCACAGTATTTAATGTAAACTGTAATATGCCTAACTCCTGTCACAGCAGTTTCTTGGTATCAGAAGAGTCATCTGAAGAAATAATGTATTCTTTAAGACAATTTCGACACAAATATTATCTATCATGGAGTTGCTTTAAATCTGAATTGAGAGAAGAAAACCAAGCCAGTAGCTGAGATTACATCCTCTGAACTCAAATACCTATGCTGACAAGTTTCCTACAACTTCTAACTGTGAAGCAGCCTAACTGTCCCAATGAGCCAAGAGACACATAGACCAAACTGCCAAACGTTTTTCATGTTTCAACACATGTGCAGTTCTATTAACAGACAGTATATAAGTTCTCCAGAAGATACAATCTAGGATGAAAGCTTGTAAATAATGACAAATAATCTATAACATCCTTTACTAGGAAAGCACAGTTCCTTAAAAATGAAGATCTCTATCACGATCACTTCGGAAAAACACCACCAACAACACAGTCTTTGTACCTTTTATCTTTCAGTCACATACCTTAATTTTTGCCTCATCTGGTCCTTTGCTAGAATCTGCCACCTTGGTCCCCTGTTTTTCCCTCTGCCTGTATGTCTTCATGACTCCACATAAAAAGGCACTTTTGTTCTGCAAGAGATGCATTAATCTTCAGTTCTGCAAACATTACAAACCAGAACCTAATTTTGCCTTGAACTTCCAGAGAACACATTTCACATATCACATATGGTTCAGTGAAGAGATTTAATCAAACCTTTTGCCAGTCTACCAGCAGTTTATCCCTCAACAATTATACTCTGAATTGCTTAATGTTACCTGAACATGTGAGAGATCACTGTCTTTAAACTGCTGAAGCACTGCCAATGCACCTTCTTCATTAAATTCCTTTAAAGCTTCAATAGCTCTTTCATCTAGATCACTATGTGCAACTAGCCCTAGAGAAAAGAAAAAAAATTACTAATTACATTTGGGTAGCAATCTCCATTTAATCATATTTAACACACCTAATATATTTCAGCGTTCCCTGAATTAATCGCTAGCTAAAAGTAAGTTACTATACCTAAGAAATCACTTAGTTCCCTAAGTTAAAATTTAAGTGCACTTAGCTTACTTTTAACCAGAAGTGTCAGAAAAACAAGAATTAGACTAAGAGTTACTGCATTTATGTATTTCAATTCTCGAAAAAGCATGTTAGATGAGGCAGGTTTAGTTTCAGTGTCCTGAAGTTAAATTCAGAAGGATCTATGAAAAACTGACTTAGCTTAATGAGCAATGTACCACGATGTTCTGGGAGAAGACTGCAAACTGCAGTACTCAAAGTGATCACAACAACACCAAAATCAAGCTTTACTATGCTACTGCTATGCCCGACAGGCAGAATACAATGACCTTTGCATCTGTGAGCTCCAATACCATGCCACAAAGCATCATTTACATTAGATGATGACTGCCAAGGCTTCAGTGACTCGAAATTATCTACAGCTACAGTAAAAATGCACAAAGCCCACATCACCTGCTCCTTCTAAGCATCAGCTGTTGCCTATCTCAAGTGGTACTATGCTTACACTCATGCTTCTCTTTCCCACCACCCACCCCAAGCGGCTGGGCCCAGACTGGTCTCTGGGAAACGTCATGACAAATTAAGACACTGAGCGACAAAAAAAAAAAACAAAAACCACCAAAGATTTTGTTAAGACTGCAGTCCTCGTACTTCTGGAAACCACAAGAAGGTGCTCAGTTAGCCCAAAGACAGCAGAAAGCAATGAAATATTCTAGGATCTAAGAAGGTTTTGCAAGTTTCATAGCTTACCTGCCACGTAAATTTCATCTAGTTTTTCAGCAACTTTCTGTGGTAAACCAGCATCAAGCAACGTCTGGAAGTGCTCAGAATGGGTAACTGCAGCAGAAGTGTCCATTGGCTCTTCAGTACCATTCCCATTCACATGTTCAGTAGCCATGTTTCCAGATATCTGTTCGAATGCAAGAAGCAGAATCGTTAAGCTACAAACACCTTCAAGCAGAACAATTCAAGTGACAACACGTGCAGCAGCCCGCCCCGTTCTCGCAAACAGACGGCAGAGCACTTCCCGGATACTTTCAGCTTCCAGAGATGCACAGAATTCCTCAAAAGGAGCCCCGACACAAAGGGAAGCCCTCACGCCGCTGCCTGGCGGGGGCGGGGTGGCTCTCACTGCAGGTTTTACACAACGCAGCCAGACACTGACTCACCTCGCCCGCTGTCTCCCTAACGCGCTCCCCGAGAAGCTCCCAACAAGTTCGGGAGGGAGCACGGAGCCAGCGGCGGGGGCGGGAAGCAGCGAACGGCCGCGCTCCGCCACCTCCCCCCCCGGCTCCGCCGCCCCTCGACCCCTCCGCGGCCGCGCTCCCCTTCTTACCGCGCCGCGCCGCCGGCCGGACCGGGCCGACAGAGAAACAAAGCGCCCGTTCCAGCCCGCACCCTCCCACGGCGGCAGCGGCGGCCGCCATGAGCCCGCTGGAAACACGTGCTCTGCGCGCTCGGATGTCCTACAACTTCCTCCAGTGACCGACTTCCCCCTCCCCGCCGCGCTCCCGGGAGCAGGAGGAGCGGCTCCCCCCCGCCCGCGCCCCGGCCCTTCCCCACCTCTCGCCCGATTCCCCCCGGAGCGCGGTTGCAACACCGCGGGCCCGATTTCACCACCGGCCCGGCCGCTCCACGCGCCTCCCGGCCGCGCCTCCGCCGCCGCCGAGCCGCGTTTCCCCCGAAACAATGCGGAGCCGCGCCGCCGGCCCCCAAGCAGCCCCTGCCCGGGCAGCGCGGCCGCGCTCCGCCCCGGGAGGCGAGCGAGCCCGGCGGCTCCCGCGGCGCCGCGCGGCGCGGCCCGCGACGGGCAATGAATGGCGCGGCCGGGCCGGCGGGACAATGAGGCAGAGCCACGCGTCCCGCACGGGGCCGTCC